CCGTGGCGGCCCCGGGGCTGCGCGGTCGGCTGTGACCCAGGAGGAGGAGGAGGAGGAGGAGGAGGAGGAGGAGGAGGAGGAGGAGGAGGAGGAGGAGGAGCACGAGGAGGAGGAGGAGGAGGAGGGAGGGAGGGAGGATGGGTGGGGTTAGGGAGGGAGAAGTTGGGCCTTGAGGCCCCCAGTATATCTCGATGTTTACTCTCATGTCTGCTACTGCTTGCTTTTTACCAAGGCTCGGGCTCGGATGACCCAGGTCGGACGCGCTCTCCTCCAAGGCGAGGCGCGGGCGCTTGTCCCGAGCCTCAGCGTCCAGATGCGGCGCTAGTTGCGGGAGATGACCTTGTGCGCGCCTCGGCCCACGCGCGAGGGAGGGAGGGAGGGAGGGAGGCAAGCTAAGTGCGCTCGCGTCATATCTGACGTCCTGCCCCTCCCTCCCGTCCCCCCTACCATGGCGCAGCTCTCCTTTTCGACTCGCACAATCGGGTGTCGCAACATGGCATAGCGTTGCATGGCGCACCATGGTGTGGAAGATCGGCGCGCAGCATGACATAGCATGACGTGGCGACGCCCCAAAAGTGTGTGGGACAGCCCCAGTCGAGGCCGATCGGCAGAGGGAAGGGAGGGGGGGAGGGAGGGAAGAAGGAGGGAGGGAATGAGGGATGGAGGGGGGGAGGGAGGACACGGGGGGTCGGTCCTCGGCTGCTCATGGGAGTGGCCCTTCGCCAGGGTGGAGGAAGATTGTCGGTGTTGTGTGTGTGCGTGTGTGTGTGTGTGTGTGTGTGTGTGTGTGTGTGTGTGTATGTTATGTTTGTCTAGCGTGTGATGTGTTGGGCGTGATTTGTGTCTCTGTGTGTGCATGTAGTTCTGAAGCCCCAGGAGGCCCCAGGAGGCCCCAGGCGGCCTCAGCAGGCCCAGGAGAACTCCAGGAGGCTCCGAGGCGGGGTCTGGGGTACCAGAAGGTCCAGAAAGCCCCAGGAGGCCCCAGGAGGTTCCAGGAGGCCCCCAGGAGGCTCCGAGGAGGGGTCTGGGGCTCGATTTTGGGAGGATGTCTCAGGCGAAACCGCCATTCTCTGAGAATCGGGGTCAAAATTATTGAAATTACCATGTGTTTTTGAAGGTTTTATGTTAAAATGTTGAAATTCCAATGTGTTTTTGGACCTCTCCTTCACGATCTGCGTGAGGGGTGCCACCGATTTTCAGAATTTCGAGGATGTCCCGAGCGAAACGCCCAGAAAAATCGCGGACGCGTGCGCATTAATCGCCTCTGAGCTCTACTCCCTCGGAGAGGTGCGTATATATATATATATATATATATATATATATATATATATATACACACATATAACGGCGCACCGGGTCTGGGGGCCCGGGGCCGGGACCTCGACCACAAATGTGGGCTCCGGGGGGCCCGGAGGCTCGTCGGGGCTTGCCGGAGGCATCCCCGGTCAGACAAGACGGCCCCAGGAGCGCCCAAGACGGCCCAAGAAACTTCCAAGAGGCCTCCAAGCGGGCTCCGAGATGCTGAAGATGGCCTCCAGACGTCCAAGGACGCCCCCAAGAGGCCCCAAGAAGCCTCCAACATGCGTCCCAAGAGGGCCCCTAGACGCAAAAATTGGCCCATTCCCTTTGTAAAACGTACATTTTCAACAAAGTTCTCTTTTGGGCTTTCCGACGTTACAGGACGGCCCAAGAGGCGCCCAAAACCGCCCCAAGACGGCCCAAGAAGCTTCCAAGAGGGCCCCAGGACAGCTCAAGAGGGCCCCAAGACGGCCCAAGAGGCGCCCAAGATGGCCCAAGAGGGCCCCAAGCCGGGCCCAAGAGGGGGCCCAGAGGGGGACCACGAATCCGCAAGCTCGAGCCTTCCGCCCCAAGAGGCCGCCAGGAGGCCCCCAGGAGGCCCCTCAAGAGGCCCCAGGAGACCCCAGACGTCCAAGGACGCCCCCAAGACGCCCCAAGAAGCCTCCAACAAGAGGGCCCCAAGACGGCCCAAGAGGCGCCCAAGATGGCCCAAGAGGGCCCCAAGACGGGCCCAAGAGGGGGCCCAGAGGGGGACCACGAACCGCAAGCTCGAGCCTTCCGCCCCAAGAGGCCCCCAGGAGGCCCCTCAAGAGGCCCCAGGAGACCCCAGACGTCCAAGGACGCCCCCAAGACGCCCCAAGAAGCCTCCAACATGCGTCCCAAGAGGGCCCCTAGACGCAAAAATTGACCCATTCCCTTTGTAAAACGTCCATTTTCAACAAAGTCGCCTTTTGGGCTTTCCGACGTTACAGGACGGCCCAAGAGACGCCCAAGACCGCCCCAAGACGGCCCAAGAAGCTTCCAAGAGGGCCCCAGGACAGCCCAAGAGGGCCCCAAGACGGCCCAAGAGGCGCCCAAGATGGCCCAAGAGGGCCCCAAGACGGGCCCAAGAGGGGGCCCAGAGGGGGACCACGAACCGCAAGCTCGAGCCTTCCGCCCCAAGAGGCCGCCAGGAGGCCCCCAGGAGGCCCTCAAGAGGCCCCAGGAGACCCCAGACGTCCAAGGACGCCCCCAAGAGGCCCCAAGAAGCCTCCAACATGCGTCCCAAGAGGGCCCCTAGACGCAAAAATTGGCCCATTACCTTCGTAAAACGTACATTTTCAACAGAAGTTCTCTTTTGGGCTTTCCGACGTTACAGGACGGCCCAAGAGGCGCCCAAGACCGCCCTAAGACGGCCCAAGAAGCTTCCAAGAGGGCCCCAGGACAGCCCAAGAGGGCCCCAAGACGGCCCAAGAGGCGCCCAAGATGGCCCAAGAGGGCCCCAAGACGGGCCCAAGAGGGGGCCCAGAGGGGGACCACGAACCGCAAGCTCGAGCCTTCCGCCCCAAGAGGCCGCCAGGAGGCCCCCAGGAGGCCCCTCAAGAGGCCCCAGGAGACCCAGACGTCCAAGGACGCCCCCACGACGCTTCGCGTCACCAAATTTCTTCTCACAACGATTCCTGGGTCTGTGACTCGACAGAACCTAAGCGCGCGCGAAGCGCGCGTGGTTCTAGTATATATATATACATATATATTATATATCTTATATATATATATATATATAATTATATATGTTTTTTGCTCCTCGAGGCTTGGGTCGAAATCCGCCGCAACGCTCGGGCCGAACGAAAGGGGGGGATAGGGAAAGGTGGGGTTACGAAATCTGCTGCATGCAGCTGGTTTCGGCCCCGCCGCTGGGCCCATCCCTCGATACATGGGCGCCTCCCGGCGTCGGGAGGCGCCGGGAACATCAGCTACGTGAGCTGATTCTCCCCCCCCCCCCCTCTGCTATCCCCCCCATTTCGCCCGGCCCGAAGAGCGCAAAGGTAGGCGAACGCGTGCGGAGCTCCAGCGTCAGCGCGTGCAGCGGCCTGCAGCTCCTCCTCGGGACGCGGGCGCCTTGCCCCGCGGCCGGCGCGGACGAGCGGCCAGCGAGGAGCGCAGCCGCATCCGCGGGCTGTGCGGGCCGGGCCCCCTCGGGGCCGCGGCTCCGCGGATGCGGGGCGCCTGTTCGCGGCTGCCCCGCGGGGGCCGTATCCGTGCGACCGCGTACCCGCGGGGTCGCGCCTCGGAGTCCGCCTCCTCCCTCCTCCTCCCTCCTCCTCCTCCTCCTCCTCCTCCTCCTCCTCCTCCTCCTCCTCCTCCTCCTCCTCCTCCTCCTCCTCCTCCCTTCTCCTCGTCCTCATCCAGACCGCGAGGGCGCGACGGCGGACATGCTCGCCGCTCGCGGGTGGCTTCGCCCTGCAGCTCCCCGGATCGGGCATCTCGTTTCCCCCCCGCCTCGCCCTGGCCTCCTCTCGCGGTTGCCACCCTTCTCCCCGTTGAGCGAAGGGTGGCAGCCGCGGTCTCATGTAGCTGTGGTGTTGCTTGTAAGTTGCGCGCTGTGCGTGCGTAGAGGCGCTGTTCTATGACCCAGAGAGTTTTCAGAGCTCGGTTCTTATCCTTCGACTTGGCGTGTGAGGCAAGATATCCACGCGTAAATGCACATCAACCCTCTGTCTGTAACGTATCACAGTGTCTTGAATGATCTTTTCGATTGCCGAGGCCTTGCGGCGTGTTCCGCCGATCCTGCGAAGTGAACAGCTGGGGCGCAACGGGCGGAATGGGGGACGGGGGCAAGCGGTGGTGACGGCCCTGGTGCGAGGGCGGACGTTTGATGATGGTCCTCGGCTCATGCCAGCTTTGCGCCTGCGCTGTTTTCCAGGGGCCCTGAGAGTATTTCCGGGGGCTCTGGGGGGGGGCCTTTTGGAGGGGCTCTTGGGGCCCTGTCTGGCCCACCTGGGTTCGTCTTGGGGGCCTCTGTGGGAGTCTTGGGGTCATGTTGGAGGGTTTGGCTTCCGACGGTGCGACGGTTGCTCGCTTTTTGGGGCCATTTTAGGGACTTCTTGTGCCCCTCTTGAGGGGCTCTTCGGCCGTCCTGGGCCAGTTGTTTTTGCTTCTGGCGCGCATTGGACGTTCTTGCGACCGAGGCGGCGAGATGGCTGAGATTGTGCAGGAGTCGAGTGGGCTCGACTGATGCTAGCTTCTTGGGCTGGCCAAGATGGCCCGCGAGATTCCCGAGAGCGATCACCCAGCCGGGCGTGGGGAAGGGATCGAATGGAACGGGCCTCCCTTGGATTTGGATGCGACCTGCGTCGATCTGCCTCGGGCCGGCGAGCTTGGCGAGCTCCGGGTGTCCTCAGGGATAGCGGGAAGGGCTTCGAGTGGAAAAGCGTCTCCCTGGACCATCCAGGGCCGATCGCCCTGGGACTCCCCCTCGCACGCGCCCACAGGGCCGGCGAATTTCGCTACACGGCGACGCGCTTCGGCATGTAGTATTGTGTCTTTTTCTTCGGTGTTTCCAAATATCATTTCGCAGTGGGCAACCTCTGGTGACCAGAGGCTCATCCCACGGACAAGCATTGAGACTACCAGCAACATGGCATCAGTGATATCACCGTCTTCGTTGCTGTCCAGACTCGCAGTCAGCACCGTTTTCGTTGTCAGCACCGTCACGCCTTGCCAGTTTTGCTCAAGCTCAGGTGCTCCTGAACGCCCAGAGATGAGGCACGCGCAAGTCTTTCGCTTGCTGCACGCCTTTGGGCCTGTTGGCGTTCTTTGTGCTAGTGGTCAGGCAGCGTTGCCGCGCAGCGTTCGCATCGACGGGCAGCGCTTCGTCTCTTCCCAGACGGGCGTGCCGATAGTTTTGGGAGGACCGAACGTGGTCGTCAAAGGTCCACCGTACCTGCCGTCGGTATCGGGCGACAAGATCTGCAACGACATCAGAACTCCAGAATGCAAAGCCAGTGGCACGTGCACATCATGCAGCACGTTCAACCAGGCTGACGTCGACCACATCAAGTCTATGGGTTGGAATTTTATACGTCTGGGAGTGGTATGGGCTGGTGCCCAGCCAAAGGATGCTGATGTCCTTGACCCTGACTTCCTGCACCGGTTGCATGCCATCCTAAATCTCACTGACGACAACGGCATCCATGTCATGCTTGACAACCATGGGGACATGGTTGGCTCAGCAGGGTGTGGGAATGGAGTGCCAATGTGGTTTCAGCAGAAGGCGGCTCCAGAGCTGATCGGCAAGCCACTTCACACAGATTTCCCATACACTCTCTTGGCGACAACCTCGATATACAAGACGGACGGCTATGACCACTGTGGGCAAGACGCTGCGAAATGGGCGGCATATGCTGGCGATCCTAACTACAATTTGTTAAATGAGTGCTGCCAGGCACTGAATTCGCCCAATCCAGGGGGCCTTGGCTTCACAACCATCAGTCAAAAAACAATGGACTACATGTTTGACGGCGGACCTGGTCGCAAAGACTTCGTTCGCTTCTGGACGCTCATGGCTCAGGCAGTCAAGGAACACCCCTCAGCTTTTGCAGCCGAGTTGATGAATGAGCCCATGTCCATCCATCGCAAGAGCATGTTTGATACTTGGCGTGCGTGTGCTGAGTCTATTCACACCGTCATACCTGACATGAGCGTGAGCATTTGTGACATTGGGGAGGCATCCCTTCTCCCAGATTGGATCACGGACCTCACCGGTGGTCACGAGGACATCTCTGATGAGACAGTGAAGTGGATCAAGGCTTCGAGCAATGTGTTCTATGCTTGGCACTATGGAAACGCGCCAGCCGCGGTGGAAAATATGCAGGCCATCAGCAAAGAATGGGACGTGCCGACATTTGGCACTGAGCTTCAATGTTCTCAGTTCGATGCTGCGTCTGCCGCGAACATATCCCACAGCTACTGGCATTATTCCGCTTACTGCAACACGGACAATAAGTTCAGGAATTGGTTCGGCAATCTGACGGTGCCGACCGAAACATTCGGAGCATGTATTCTAGGGTGGGGTGGCGGCAATTCTTCGAATTGCCCCACTTCGCCCAAGGGAACGTCTGTTTTAATAATTTAGTAAGCTCGTTTGAAGCAGCTTGACGGATTGCTCCTGGCGGCTTGGCTCCGTGTCATTGGCATAGTCGTCACAACTGATGTTATGGTCACCATTTTCAGCACAAGCGCATTATTCACCGTCATTCGCAGTAGGCTTGTCGAGGGCTGCGACGGCAGCAGTGCCGATGGCACAGGGGGTCATGGAGTAGATGACGGCAGTGAGGACGGCGATGGCATTTGTGATGATGGCAGCCATGGCCATTGCGATTGTTGCGATGTGATTGTCTTGACAGTGCGCCAGGCGTGTTCGAGAGCTTCCTCGGAAGACAGTGTCTGCCATGCTTGCGGCTGTCGGAACATGTTGGCACCTGGAGGAGGTCTGAGCCTGAGGAGGGATATAGGGTGGGCAGCTTCCAGCCAGCTGCCTCGACCCTCCAGGGGGGCTCTGGGCATCCAGGACCGTTCCCCAGCGGCCTCAGAGCCGTCGCAGGCTGCCCCAGACGGGCCACGAGAGCCCCAAGAAGTCCCCATGCTTGGCATCGCTCGGACGTGTGCATGTTTCCTTCGGCGAGGACCATCGAGGAGCATCCTTGATTATTTGGCGAAAGAACCACGCACGAAACAGAAAAAAGCACAGGGGATGGACGTCCGAGCGATGGCCAGCATGACGATCCCCAAACGCTCCGAATCGCCATCAGAGGCGCGCACGCACCAGACGGCCTCCTGACGGCCCAGCAGGCCTCCCGGACGCCCCTAATATGCTTCCGAGAGTACCACCACGGGATCCCCAGGATCCCAGAACATTGGATTCCAGAGTTGTTTGTACATACGCACCTGTAAGATCACCCTTCTGGTGATGAGGAGGCTGTGGGGGGTGACAGAAACAACGTCTCACTCAATCGATCTCACCACCGAACTCACTGTCGATCTCCCTACCGCTCTCATGATCGACCTCACAGCCATCTCACTATCGATTTCACTCTATGGATATGACTCTGTCGATCTAACTATCGATTTCACTCTACCAGCCTCACTCGATCGATCTCACTAGCGACCTCACTCTAACGGTCGCACTGTCGATATCACAATCGATCTCACTTTCGATCTCACTGTCGATCTCACTCGATCTCACTATCGACCTTGGCACTGGTCACCGCCACCGGCCACCGCCGCGGACACCGACCTCCCGACGGGATACCCCCGGCCACCGCCACGGACACCGACGGGACACCGACGGGACACTGACGGGACACCACGGCGGGACACCACGGCTGGACACCCATGGCCACGCCGGCCCGCCGGAGTGGCGGTCTTTTGTTTTGCTCCACCCTAGCCACGGAAGATTCATTCCTGTCGCCCGCCCGCGCAGCTCAGCCTCGCCCACACGATCTACGCGAACCCGAAACTGAAACCGATTTCCCAGTGGGGGGCACTCCGTTCCACTTCGATCTCAGTTTCCCCTGCCTCCGATATATACACATATCCTCTTATGCGTGTGTGCATGCATGCACGCACGCACGCACGCACGCATGTATACATCCATGCATGCACGCACGCATGCATGCACGCATGTAGGCATGTATGTATGTATGTATGTATGTGTGTATGTGTGTATGTATGTGTATGTGTATGTGTATGTGTATGTGTATGTGTATGTGTATGTGTATGTGCATGTGTATGTGTATGTGTATGTGTATGTGTATGTGTATGTGTATGTGTATGTGTATGTGTATGTGTATGTGTATGTGTATGTGTATGTGTATGTGTATGTGTATGTGCATATGTATGTGTATGTGCATGTGTATGTTGTATGTGTATGTTGTATGTGCGTGTGCATGTGCATGTGCATGGGCATGTGCGTGTGCATGTGCATGTGCATGTGCATGTGCATGTGTATGTGTATGTGCATGTGCATGTGCATGTGCATGTGCATGTGAATGTGCATGTGTATGTGTATCTGTATGTGTATATGTATGTGTATGTTCATGTGTATGTGTATGTGTATATGTATGTGTATGTGTATGTGTAATTATGTATGTATATGTGCGTATGTATGTACGTGTGTCTGTGCATGTGTCTGTTTGTGTGTGTGTGTGTGTCTGTGTGTCTTTGTGTCTGCCTGTCTGTCTGTCTGTCTGTCTATCTGTCTGTCTGTCTGTCTGTCTGTCTGTCTGTCTGTCTGTCTGTCTGTCTGTCTGTCTGTATCTATGTATGTATCTATGTATGTAGGTATGTATGTATGTGTGTATGTATGTGTGTATCTATGTATGTTTGTGTATCCACATATGCTCTTATTTCCGCCTTTATGGCTTCCCCACGCTCTAAGACGGCCCAAAAGGCCCCCGGGGATCGCCTCAGACGCCCCCCTGGAAGGTGCCAATGCAGCCGCTGGGGGCCCCAGGCGATCCCCGAGACGCCCCTGAGGCGTCTCAGACGGCCCCGAGACGGCCCAGGAGAGCCCCCAGAGGCCCCCGACACACTCCAAGAACGCTTTCAATCGCTAACAGAGGCGCTCAACACGCCCCAGAAGGCCCCCCCACGGCCCAATAGGGTTCCAAGACGGCCCAAGATGCCTCCAAGAGCACTCCAACGACGGCCCCAAAGAACAAAACCATTTTTTTTTGGTTATACGTGTTTGAAGGGTTTTCGCTTTTCTGCCTTTCCGGCCTCTCCGTGCTCTATGGCGGCCCCAGAGGCCCCAACGACCGCCCCACGACCGCCTCAGGCGCACCCAAGACAGGGCACCAGAACGGCACACGAGGAGCTCCGGGTGCGTCCTAGACGGCCCAAACACGCCCAAGAAAGTTCCCAGAGGCCCCCATCCACGATCCAAGAACGGTCCGAATCGTTTACAGAGGCGGCCTCTTGGGTCGTCTTGGAGCGTCGGCAAGCCGAAATGACGAGAAGGCCCAAATCCTTCAAACACCGTGGGAAAACTGAATTTTGCTTCTTGGGGCCCTCTCAGGAGGCCTCTTGGGCCGTCTCGGTGTCATCGAAAGTGTATTGATAGTTTTTTTCTGCGAACCGAGGCTCTCTGGGACCGTTCTGGGAGGGCACAGCGTTCAGAGGACCCGCAGGACCCTCACCAGAACTCACGTAAAAAGCCCGGATAACTCGGGACAAGCTTAGCAACTGTTCCAGGCCCTGTAAGACTCACGATTCTCGCGGCGGCAGCAGCAGCAGCAGAGCATCTACCGTTCAGTGCTGCATGAGCTTTGGGGCACTTCACTTCGTGCCAGAGGTACGGTGGTGGATTATGCTGATGCTGATGATGATGCTGATGTTGATTGCGATGATGATGATGACGATGACGATGTCGATTCAGATGACGATGCTGATGGTGGTGATGCTGATGATACTGATTATCATGATGATGGTGATGATGATGAATATTTTATGGTGATGATGATGGTGATGATGATGGTGTTGATGATGATGCTGGTGATGATGCTGGTGATGCTGACGATGATGGGGATTATGCTGACGATGCTCTCTATGATGAATCGGATGAAGATGAGGATGCTGATGAGGGTGATGATATTGAGGATGATGCTGATGCTAATGCTGCTGCTTCTAATGATGATGACGATTATGATGTTGATGATGGTAAGCACGCTGATGATAATGTGGATGAGGATGCTGATGCTGATCATGACGATGATGATGTTGGTGATGATGTTGTTGATGATGATGCTGATGATGAGGATGGTGATGTGATGCTGCTGCTGCTTATGATGATGATGGTGATGGTGATGGTGATTATGAGTATGATGATGGTGATCATGATCAGGATGGTGGTTGTGATGATGAGGATGGTGATGATTATTCTGATGATGATGATGATGATGATGATGATCATCATCACGATGGCGGTGGTGATGATGAGGATGGTGGCGGTGATGATGATGGTGATGCTGATGATGATGATGAGGATGATGATGATGATCATGATGGTGATGATGAGGATCACCTTGTTCTGAATGGCGTCGGTGACGATGATGGTGACTATCATGGGAAAGTGATAATGCTTATGACCCCTCTTGCTCTTCGATCTGGCGGCCGCACTCGCTTGTGGAACACCACCACCAGCCCCGGCATGCGCTAGAACTCGAGCGCCCGCGAAACGCGCGCGATGATTCTAGTATACAACTCTCTCTCTCTCTCTGTATCTTACTCTCTCTCTGTATCGATTTCCAGTAAATTTTCAGTCGCTGCGAGGAGAGGGGTTCGCCCCAGGAAAACTGAAGCTACCTTGCCGGAGAGAGCTAACAAGAATTCAGACCGCGTGTTAGCTCTCTCCGACGCTTTGGGGCGCGATCGAATGATTAGCATTCTATCGCGCCCCAAAGTGCCGCAAGCACGGCGGTGGACACTGGTTCTGCAGGCCTCTCGAACACGGAGGAGTGTGTGGTCCCCTCCTTGTCGAATATGCGCAGGGGGTGTGTGATAACGGGGGGCACGAGGGTGCTCTTCCTGACACCGCAACTTTGACACGCCGTGTTGCATGTTTACATGCCCACCAGAGAAAGCAAAGAACTGCACTACGCGTTTTGGGCCTGGTTGCTGTTCGTAGGCAGTCATCCGTGGCAAGCGCAGCGGACGCGCGATCATTTTCCGACCCACGATCCGCGCGCCTCAGCGAGAATATAATAAGAATTTTCGAGCTGGCCTAACTCTGACATGTCTCGAGCGTGAACAACAGCCTGCCATCCCTCACCCCAGATATTGCGAAGACGACGACGGCGACCGAGGAAGAAAACCACGGCGCCTCTTGTTGTTGCCGAGTGGTGCCGTCTCCCTTGTCTCTGTCTTTGTCTTTGTCGTCGTCCTCATCCTCGTGCTCGTCCTCTTTCTCGTCCTCATCCTCGTCCTCGCCCTTGTCCAGCTACCGGGGGCTCCGCCGGCACCGGTGGGCATCTTGGAGCCCCACGCGGGCTGGGCGTGCGTCAGGTCCGAGAAGGGGGGACGGGGAGGATTGTGCCCCTTGCCGTGTTGCTTGCCTCAAGCCATGCATGTTTGCGGCGGCGGACCGTGCCGCCAAGGTGTCCCGCGTTGTGGGTCGTTCAGGCGGCGCGCGCCAGGGCGCCGAGGTCTACAAAGTAATGCATCAAGCAGCGGCGAAGCGTCCTGGCTCGCCTATAGCCCCACCAAACAATGTTCTAAGAACCTTTTGTGGTTTCCACGAACTGTTCTTAGAACAGTTCTAGTTGAGGTTGTCTTGTTTTAACACATCGGGCCTATGTTCTAAGAACAGTGTTCTTGTTCTTAGTACATGTTCGGTTTCTACGAACACTTCGTGGCATGACTATAGGAATGCCAGGACGGTCGGTCCCTGCTCAAACGTATCTGCGAACGCACACGCTGCCCTCGGCACCCCCCATGGCTCTGAGGCGTCAGCCCGCGCCCTCGGGCGGGACGCAGCCTCGTCGGCGCTGCGGGGCGCGCGCGCGGGGCTGGGGCTCCGACGACCGTCGGCGAGAAAGCGCCGACTGGCGTCGATTTAGCGTCGACGGGTGTGGATCAGCGCCCATTCGCAAGAGCCAGCGGCACGGTGTGTGGGAGGCTCTCGTGAGCTGCCGCAGGGAAGGGGGGCGAGCCGAGGCAACGGCGTTTGACCCTCGGAGGGCCCCCTCGCCGTCACGGCTGGGCGCAGCTCGGACAGCTGGTGCGTTTGGGCGCCTGGAGGGGTCTCGGGGCCGATTTCTGAGCTGCCGTTGTCTCAACACGCCCTGCTCCCCTCTTGGGAGGGACGGGGGGCCTCTGAGGAGGCGTCCCGGAAGCCCCTCCCCGCCTCCTCTGTGCGTGCCGCGGGGCCAGCGCATGCCGGGCGGGGCCAGGCGGAAGCCAGAAGCCCGGAAAAGTGTGGCCGCGTTCTTGGCGATGATGCTTGGCTAGCCTTTTTGCACCCCCCAGCCAGGTGGAATCACAGAGCCAGCGCGAAGCCGGCGGCACAAACACACTGGCCCATTGGACGCTCAGCGCCTCCCATAGCTCTAATGGTAAAGGGGGTCGTTCCCGTCGTTCCGATTCAGCTTAACGCAACGTCGCTTCCGAGCGTCTTCGCAGACCAAAAAAGACTAGGACCCTCTAATCTTTGCTCCTTACAAGTAACTTCTCGTCGTGCCACCGGGCGTGTCGGTAGGGCGGACTTGGCGTTTCGCCCGAGATGTCACAGCTGATTCCCCAAGCAGAGCCTGCACTACGGTCGGACCGAGGTATACGATCGAGGTCGGTTCGGGGAGGGTACCCTCGAAGGTTCTTCAGTTTGGCCGGCGGAGGGTCTAACGTTCTTGAATGATGTTCCTCAGTCCTAGGGCCGGCCGTAGGCTCAGGGGGGATGCGTCAACCCCAAATCGCCCGTTCATCGCCGCCAGGGATCCGCTGGCCCACCCTGCCCTCTCCTCCCTCTCCTCCCTCTCCTCCCTCTCCTCCCTCTCCTCCCTCTCCTCCCTCTCCTCCCTCTCCGCCCTCTCCTCCCTCTCCCCCCTCTCCCCCCTCTCCTCCCAGGACCTGGAGCGTGCGCATCCGCTGGGGCCCACCGCCGATCCGTCGCAGCCGTGCCGCCCAGTCTCCGCTCGGCGCCTCCCCGCCGGAGTGGCTCCCGGGCCTGGCCGTGCGGGTGCCTCGCCTGCGCCGCCACGCGCTCGGGATGCCGCCTCCGCGTCTTCGCCCAGATGGGGCGCCCGTCGCCGCCCCAGCTCTTCCAGGAGGGGAAAAACACACAGAGACACAATGAATCCTCGAGTCCCAGGAACACATGGGGAAATATTTGGGAAGTGTGGGGGGGGGAAGACAGAACCCAGAAACTAGAGGAAAACATGGGGAATCTTTGTGTTTGTGTGTATTCATTTGTGTGTCCTGGGGCTCCTTCAGCTCTTCCAGTGCGTGGTCCCCGGAGGCCTGTCGGACCGGGCTGGGTTGAGTGGAAGGGCGACAGGCTCAGACCCATGAGGACGTCGTTTCTTTTTCTCGTGGCGTGCGCCCCTAGAGGTCTGGACCTCTTCCCGGGGGGCCGGCTTCTCCAGGGGAGCGAAGAATGACACAAACATGTCAACTCGGAGGTCCGCGCGGATTTATCAGATCGGCGCTGGACCCTCCTCCCTGGCGCGCTGAGCGCACTAGGGGCGGCGCCGGAGGCGCCGCCAGGGGGGTCCAGCGCGGACCCGAGAATTCCGCGAGGACCTTTGAGTTTTTTGTTTATGTCATTCTTCGTCCCCCTATTCTCCTCCCGAGCCGTCTCTGGACGGCCCCAAAGGCCTAGCAAAAGCGCCCCCCGAGTCCCCGTCAGATGGCGAAGAGCCACCTCCCGTCCTGCTCCGTGCACGGCCCCGGGTGGTCTGGGAGTGAAGCTCGGACGGGGTTAAAAAATCAGTTCCAGAGCGTTCGGGGACGCTCTGATAATCGAAGAAGAAAAAGACGGCATAAACATTTAACTTTTGGTGCTCCGCGCGGATTTCTTGGATCCGCGCTGGGCTCCCCTGGCGGCGCCTCCGCCCTGGCGCGCTCCGCGCCCCAGGGAGGGGGGGGCCCAGCGCAGATTCAAGAAATCCGCGCGGAGCGCCAACAAACTATGTTTATGTTATTTTCTGACCTTCTAGAGAAGGCCGCGGCGCCCGATACCTCCAGAGCGGCCAGATCTCATCCGAGCCCTGGGGGGCGGGCGAGGGTCCCAGTCGTGGATCTGGTATGCAAGATTCCTTACCTGGGGCGTGGTTTCTGTGTGCCGAAAGGGGCCCCGGGCGGTGGAGTCTGTCTGGGGCGGGGAGGATCTGGCATACAGAAGAATGTTTGAGGATGCCAGAGGTGCTCGATTGATCCCCACCCGAATTTATCCTCGTCCTGGCCTCGTCTTAGTCTGGACCACTTCCCCAGGGCCAGTTTTTCGCCCCGAGTCGTTTCTGGACGGCCCCGAAGTGGCCCGGCGAGGGCCCCTAGAGGCCGAAAACGGCCAAACACCCGCCGCTCCAGTTTTTTTTGGGGAGCCTCGTCCTGCCTTCGTCTGAGGAGAGGAGTAGGAATAGGAGGAGGAGGATGAGGAGGAGGAGGAGGAGGAGGAGGAGGAGGAGGAGGAGGACGAGGAGGAGGAGGAGGAACAGGAGGAGGAGGAGGAGGAGCAGGAGGAGGAGGAGGAGGAGGAGGAGCAGGAGGAGGAGGAGCGAGTGGAACGGCGACGGCCGGGCGCTGGGCGCCCCCTTCCCGTGGGCAGGGGAGCGGCCGCGGCGCGCGCGGCCGCTGCCACGCTGGAGCTGCCGGGGGTGGCGCAGGAGCCGCCGGGGCGCGCGTGGACGTGGCGCCGGCCGCCGGGGCTTCCGAGGCCTCGGACGACGACGACGACGAGGAGGACGAGTTCGAGGAGGAGGAGGAGGACGACGACGACCAATAGTACGACGACGACAACGACGACGACAACGACGACGACGACGACGACGGCGGCGGCGGCGGCGACGACGACGACGACGACGAAGGCGACGCCGCAGGGCCTTTCGCGGCAGGGGTTGGCGGCGCCCGAGGCGTACCGTACCGCGCCTTGGCGTCTCGCGCAGCGTCGTCAATATCTTACGGCCCCAGGGAGTTGGCGCAGTGCACAGGTTTCTCGGGGGCAGCCAAAAGGGAGGTGATGATTACATTCAAAACGTGGATTTAGGACAGGTGGTAAGGATTCAAAACCCTTGGAGGCCGAAGTTGGGATTTTCTCGGCGGCGGGCGATCAGTGAAAACGGCAAAGAACGGGCCGCAGAGGCACGGACACAAGTGTACCCTAGATGAATGCGCGCGTCCTTACTAGGTACGTTGGCTGTAGGGTAGGTGGATATCACGGCGGGGGCCAGGACATTTACCCAGATTTCATGGCGCCTTTTCTCATTTCAATGCGTCATACAATGGCGGGGGGCAATGATATGTCCCCAGATTTCATGGCGCCTCTTCGCATTTCGAGCCGTCCCCCGCATCCCCCCTGGGCCGCGCACGTGCCGCCAGCCATGAGCTGCGCCCCCCGCCCCCCCACCCTCTTGGGCGCCCCCCTCTGCCCCGGATTTCAGGGCCGAGCTACCCTGCACCGTGCAGTCAAGACGCTGCACGTAGGCCTGCTTTGGGCTCAGGAGGGGCTCGGGTCTCTCGTGCCGTTCCGCAGGTTCGCGTCGTGGAGCCTGCTCGTGGCCTTGGCCTGTCGTGGCCACAGAAGCCCCGTTCGTTCCCCATTCCGTGCTCCTTCTGGTCACTGGCACGGTGACGGTACGGCGCATGGGTGCCGTTCTCGCAGCAGGGCTCCCGAGGGGGTCTCCGAGGGCCCCGCGGGCCTCGCGCAGGGCCTCCCGAGGCGAGCGCCGACGGCAATGGCGTCGACGCCCCGCAGGCTACCACAGGCCCCCAGAGGCCTCCGGAGGGCCGAGTCGACAAAGAGCGTCCCAGAGTTTGGGTCCCCGATTCTCGACCCTCGAACCTCGATCCTCGAACCTCAAGGAAGGAGGCGGAGGAGGAGGAGGAGGAGGAGGAGGAGTAGGAGGAGTTCCGTAGCCATTTTGGCTCAAGCCATTTTGGCTCAAGTTCGAACTTCAAGTCGCGGGAGCTCGAGCTTGTCCGCTACCGTGCGACACACATCAGGGTGTCGCCCCACGTGTCATTTCGCGCTCCAAGTCGTGCGCCGAAGCACGCACGTTTGTCTCTTTTTTGCCATCACTCCCATCTCGTGTGGGTGTCGGCTAAGCTCTTAGCACGACGACGCGATGGCTGCCGAGGGAATCTTCCATGATGCACGGGA